AAGACGATTAATTAGGATGTCATGGTCAGTTGTATCAAATGCTGCACTTAGATCTAAGAGAACCAGGATTGAGACCTTATTTTCATTAGAGTTTAGTCTGAGGGTGATGATTATTTTAGTTCTGAAGCCTGATTGAAGTTCCTCCAGAACATTTATTTACTAAACAAAACAGTTTATTTAGACTGAAACCTTCTTTTCCAGTATCTTACTCATGAATTGAAGACTGGAAATTGGCCTATAGCTGGTCAGGGCATTACCTTCTAGTTTGGATTTCTTTAGTAAAGGTTTTGCAGCAGCTGTTTTGAATCTGGGAAGAATCTGAGAACCCAGGAATCTTGGTCAGAATTATATAGTGCAGTGCAGATGATACATAGATGTACAACGATGGATGAGTAGTGGATGAATTAGATGAATTAGATTGCAGAGCTGTACAGTCTGATGGCTGCAGGAAGAAATTACCTGAAAAAGTGTCCCTTCCTGCTGCAAGACTGGAAAAAAGATTAAATATTAAAATAAAGCCATGGTGAAGGAATAGATGCAGAGCTTTTATTAGTTTTCCTTTTCCAGAAATTCCTTGTATGAAAGAAACATAAGAGTGTTCTGTTTCAGAGATCTTCTCATCAAGTTGATGGATATTGAATCATGTTCCAGAGGAGCTGTGCTAAAAGAAAACCAAAACTATGCATGGCAGGGAAATTCCATGAGCAGGACCGCAGAGCGCCGGTGCATAGCAAACTTTAAGCTCCTCCTCCTCTGCTGGTATATCAGCTCCAGTGCAGCAGATTCATCACTTTCAAAGGAACAGCACAGCTGAGCACTACTGACGCCTCTGAGACCCACTGAGACAGGTACGTCCTTACTCCCTTTATAACTACACAGAAATATCAGATGTCTGTATACGAAAAAATCAAAAAGAATCAAAAAACATCAAAAAGCAACTTTTTATATGTATATAAACTGTAAACTGAAATTCAAAGATTGTAGAAGATGAACAGGCCTTGATTGATCAGCATATAAGAAGTGATTTTGATCAGAGCAAAATAATGTCTGCATCTTGAAGAGACACAGAAAGAGAGACAGAAAGAAAGAGCAAGACCGTCGTACACTTACCTCGGCATCATCGTTACTGCACCCGGGAGTTTCAGTGCGGCAGTGAATGCACTAAAGGAAAAAGCTCCCTAAAAACGGAGTATGAATTGGAAGAGTGTCTCCTGACTGTCAGGGATACAAAGCAGAAACAGATCCTGATCAAGTAGAGACTCTGTGACCACAGCCTGAGAATCTGATTTCTCAGTTTATTAACCATGAGCTTGGTGGAATGTGTCAGGTCTTTATATTGTGACCACAATATTCTCAGAAAGACATCATTAAATATGTCATGTTTTGACATGTCTAATGTTTTATGGGATATGTTTTTACTCTAAACAGGCAATGAGTCTTATAGCAGCTGTTATTGCTGGCGCGTCCCTGTTTGACACCAGTGTGGAGCAAATATCCCGGAGCATAGACACATGGAGAAATGTCACCATTGAAATCACCAATTACAGCAATACATTCACCTTAACAAATCCAAGGTAAGTACAGATGAATGTTGTCAGTGAGTGTCTCTCAGACTGAAATGGGCTTCTGGGTTATTAACCTGTAGAACTCACTGTCACTGAAAAGAAATTTATTACAGTCATTTCCTTACCCAGTTTGATAAAGCACAGCAAAGTAACAGTGAACACATTATAAAAGGGACTGTTGAGAAAACCTAGAACAAAAACTAGAAAAATGCATTTACTAATGCAGAGTGAGCGGCTTAAGCAATTCTCAGAAGGCGGCTAGGATGTTGCTAGGTTGTTGCTATGGTCACCCTGGTGGTTGTTCATAAGAGGTTGCTATGGTATCTTTAGTGGTTGGTAGGGTGTTGTGATGGTAACTAAGGTTATTACTAGGGTGTTGAAAGGTGGTTGCTATGGCATTAGTGGTTGGTAGGGTGTTGCTAGGTGGTTGCTATGGAATCATACACACTTACTAGGGTGTTGCTATGTGGTTGTTATGGCATTCCAGGTGTTTCTTTGGGTGTTGCTAGGTGGTTGCTGTGGAATCCAAGATGGCTACTAGTTTGTTGATAGGTGTGCGCTGTGGTATTCCAGGTGGTCAGTCATACTATACACAAACCACAGAGAAAATTATTTTACTGCAGCATTTAGAGCTGTTGGTAACCAACTTTAGCTAATCAGTTCATTACATTTATAAGTGGCATCCCAACTAATTGACGAACAAGTTCATAAATGCATAGATAAATGAATAAGATATAGGTTCAAAATCTGCCACAGGATGTACAAACCAAAGATGATTTTACTGTAGCTTTTTAAAGTAACTGGCATCCAAAAGCATCACACTGCTCAGAATCTTTTGGTCCTACTCGTGAAACTGTGTGTGATATACTTTCCCTTTATGTCTGTCTGCCTCACACTGTCTGTCTGCCTGTTACAGATCTGTGTTCAACATTATGATTTATAATCTTTCTTTCTGTGCAACAGGTCCTACACCTACAGTGGATACTGTTACCATCCTCCACAACCTACCATTGCAAAAAGGACGAAAGAAGCATGCTCGTTTTCCAAAACTCCACACACAGCTTGTGGTTCTGTCGGGGTTCTGACGTACCAAATCCTCAATAATGAAACAAAACATGTTGCTGAACTGGCCATTATGTTCTCTGTGCCTTTTGACTACAACCAATATGAAAACATGTTTGCCCTTGGCATTTATGAACCAAACATTTCATGTGATAAAAATCTATACAACAAGATGTATTATCACGGTGGTCTGTTCACCAGAGGAAAAGGGACAGGGGGTGTTATAACATATTGTGGAAATGGAGCTCTGGTGAAGGGAACAATGTCTGCTTATGGCCAATCAATTATTAGGGCTGAACTGTGGGATAAGTAGGCTTGGCGCCTTTTACCAAAACTGATAAGGCAAACAGTCTTAAGCCATCTAAGCTCCAGCATTAACAGTTACCATACAGTATAGTTTATCTAATGAGTTCTTCATTAAATTAAAGCAGGTGATGAGCCAAACCTGCGTTCATCTAACTGTATTTATCTAATCTACATATTCAGAACTACACTGAAAACAACACATTCTGACTACTGTGTTTATGTTTATTCATATTGATTCTAATATTTTATAGACTTTTTTTACTGGCATAAAGCACACAGCTGAGAGTTTATAAATAAAACTAATGGAGGGCTAAAACTTCTGCACAGTACTGTAAATGTTTTTAAGTGCTAATTAAATACTGAAAATCTGAGCATTGATAATCTCGCATGTAAACCTCTTAATAACAGTATTACTAGAGTATCTGCTTACAGCATTTACATCTAAGCCTCTTTTGACTCTTTCCTTTAAACACTGCTTGCTGTGTACTGAGACATTATTAAAGAGATATTAATAAACCGCTTGCTGTTTTCTTCATTATGAGTTATTGAGTATCTGTGAACATGGTCATAACCAGTGTGAGGACACTAAGATCCAGACTTCAATAGATTCTAAAGGAATCATGAGATTCAGTGTGGAAACAGTGATGTTCTGATTACACAGAGTGACTCTGACTGCCTGAGATGATCAGATGTGCAGCAACACACTGTAGCCTAACATATGACATCACTAGGATATAAATATGAGGTTCATGTTCACAAGGGCAGTTACAGATTAAGCTTGTACAATGTAATCTGTAACACTGTTGGCTAAATCAGCATGTTAGAGTCCAGCTACAGCAGCTGCTCAGTTTAGGCTACAGGCTCTTTAGTTCACTGTTGTAGTGATCAAATAAGAACTAGTTTAAAGTAGAGAGACAGTTAAAAGATGATGAATTGTGTCATAATATACTACAACAAGCATTAAAGTTCACTGTTAACTAGAACATTAATGGCACAATATTTAGGAAATCAGCAGAGGAGATATTACACAGAAGTTGTGAAAGATAAGATAGGAAAAAAATTAGAAAGTGCCACTTTATTCATTTTTTTCTGCCTGTAAAAAATATGGAAACCAGTCAAAAAAGGTTCCAGCTTCAATTTTATCCATTAAAAACTTACAAAACAAAAAACCTTTTTCACCTTTTTGTCCACTACAATATGAAATAGAAATATGGGCTAATGTAAGAAATGGTTTCCTTTGTCCCTGTCTGATCCCACCTTGAACTCTCTCTATCTGGTTGTTCTCCATTGATATCCATATGGTGATTAATTTAATTAACTTGGTGTGCTTGTAGAACAGCTTTGTACAAAAAAGATGGTAGTTTTAAGAAAATCCACAGAATTTCCTTTCATTCCCCTCTTTTGTTCCCTAGGAACAACACTCTTAAAAAGGAGTGTCCACCACAAGGGCTGGGCAAAAAACCTGCAACAGGGCTTACTTAGTACAGCAACAGTCCCAGCCTACTCAAACTTTGTTTTGATGTAGGACATTCACACTCCCAGGTGGATTTGAGCATGCTTGAGCGTTTACTCCACAAGTCAACTAACTTGTGACTCATGAAAACCACGTCAGCATGCAGCACAAAATAAAATAGAATAATGTTACATAGAGCACAAAATATAAAAATGGAAAGAGTCAAAATTTAAACAAAGAGCAATCAATAGAGTCATTGCCAGTGTATTCATGAGAGCGATTAGAAACTTGTTCACACAACAGAGGGACAGATGCCACGGCACGGAAATTCCATGAGCAGGACCGCAGAGCGCTGGTGCATAGGAACAATCAGATCAGAAATTCCTTGTATGAAAGAAACATAAGAGTGTTCTGTTTCAGAGATCTTCTCATCAAGTTGATGGATATTGAATCATGTTCCAGAGGAGCTGTGCTAAAAGAAAACCAAAACTATGCATGGCAGGGAAATTCCATGAGCAGGACCGCAGAGCGCCGGTGCATAGCAAACTTTAAGCTCCTCCTCCTCTGCTGGTATATCAGCTCCAGTGCAGCAGATTCATCACTTTCAAAGGAACAGCACAGCTGCGCACTACTGACGCCTCTGAGACCCACTGAGACAGGTACGTCCTTACTCCCTTTATAACTACACAGAAATATCAGATGTCTGTATACGAAAAAATCAAAAAGAATCAAAAAACATCAAAAAGCAACTTTTTATATGTATATAAACTGTAAACTGAAATTCAAAGATTGTAGAAGATGAACAGGCCTTGATTGATCAGCATATAAGAAGTGATTTTGATCAGAGCAAAATAATGTCTGCATCTTGAAGAGACACAGAAAGAGAGACAGAAAGAAAGAGCAAGACCGTCGTACACTTACCTCGGCATCATCGTTACTGCACCCAGGAGTTTCAGTGCGGCAGTGAATGCACTAAAGGAAAAAGCTCTCAGAGCGCTGTACGCAGTCAGGAGGAGATTCTACAGTATTGACATTCCCATCTAAATCTGGTGTAAAGTCTTTGATAGTGTGATCCAGCCCGTTGCGCTGTACAGGAGTGAGGTGTGGGGTCCACTCAGAGATCTACAGAGAGCTACAGAGACAAGAACTGGACCCTGAGCAGAGTTCCCTCAGTCAGCTGGTTCTGAGGCTTCTTAACCCACTAACAGCTCCTAACACACAGCAGCCTCGCTCCAGCACTGCTTTACAGCCCAAACTAAACATTAATCACATCATCAGAAACAGTAAGAGTGATTATCTGGAACACTGGGGAACATAAATCAAAACTCAGAGTGAATTAGAACGCTATTGGGCCCTAAAAACGGAGTATGAATTGGAAGAGTGTCTCCTGACTGTCAGAGATACAAAGCAGAAACAGATCCTGATCAAGTAGAGACTCTGTGACCACAGCCTGAGAATCTGATTTCTCAGTTTATTAACCATGAGCTTGGTGGAATGTGTCAGGTCTTTATATTGTGACCACAATATTCTCAGAAAGACATCATTAAATATATCATGTTTTGATATGTCTAATGTTTTATGGGATATGTTTTTACTCTAAACAGGCAATGAGTCTTACAACAGCTGAAGCAGCGGTAGCTGTTATTGCTGGCACGTCCCTGTTCAGCACCAGTGTGGAGCAAATATCCCGGAGCATAGACACATGGAGAAATGTCACCATTGAAATCACCAATTACAGCAATACATTCACCTTAACAAATCCAAGGTAAGTACAGATGAATGTTGTCAGTGAGTGTCTCTCAGACTGAAATGGGCTTCTGGGTTATTAACCTGTAGAACTCACTGTCACTGAAAAGAAATTTATTACAGTCATTTCCTTACCCAGTTTGATAAAGCACAGCAAAGTAACAGTGAACACATTATAAAAGGGACTGTTGAGAAAACCTAGAACAAAAACTAGAAAAATGCATTTACTAATGCAGAGTGAGCGGCTTAAGCAATTCTCAGAAGGCGGCTAGGATGTTGCTAGGTTGTTGCTATGGTCACCCTGGTGGTTGTTCATAAGAGGTTGCTATGGTATCTTTAGTGGTTGGTAGGGTGTTGTGATGGTAACTAAGGTTATTACTAGGGTGTTGAAAGGTGGTTGCTATGGCATTAGTGGTTGGTAGGTGGTTGGTAGGGTGTTGCTAGGTGGTTGCTATGGAATCATACACACTTACTAGGGTGTTGCCAGAGCCGTATAGAGAGAGAGTAGCGTCAACGGAAGTTCAAAATGCTTGATGGTCACGTGATTCACGTAGACTTCAGATAGTTCCAGGAAGTTCTTTGCGGGCAATTTAAACCCATAAACACAGAGCGACAGAACTGCGTCTTTTGGTACTTTAAAGTCAATAAATGCACTGATTTACAATATTCATATAGAAAACCAGTGTGTGTGTGTAGTTACAACAATATAATATATTTAAAAGTCAAATTTGCCACTATTTGAGGATTAAACAGCTGTCGTTACCTGCCTTTCTGACATGTTAGGTTAATGTGAACATGGTTTCAAAGTGTGTTTTTGTTATTTCATTGCTTTGACTTCTCAGTATTATAGATATTATGTTCTTAAACTTGTATGGTAGTTAAGGTCAGTCATATCCTAATGTTTATTGATATACTTAGAGGGAGGGGAAGGAATGCTTCAAAATTGAGATGAGATTAATTTTCAACATAAATAAATATATTTAACATAAATACATCTTTAATTAATGGTTTTTCCAAGGCCTAGATCGTTTTAATGACTTCATGGCTACTGTAAACTCTATGACTTTGAAGGAGAAGGAGCCAAAGAAATTTGTTTGGCTTGCATATGAAAAAATCTGTATTAAAAAGCGTACATTAAAATACATCACATCCAGACAGGACAGGACATAATAAACACATCTATTTATAATAGTTTGTACTCATATAAACATATTTATATATCTTGTCTTTTTACTATGCACATATTTACTGTGAAGGATTAATTAAATAAAACTATAAGAAACTCAAACATGAATAGCCTGGCCGGCAGTTTGTCTGTGCCCTTTTCTCCATGTTGTCCTTGCATATAGTCCCCACCATGGTTTGCTCTGCTGCATGGAGATGCTTCAATCGTTCGGAGAAAGGAGTGAAATGTTTGGTTTCTCCACTGACACAGAGAGAAGAAAAAACTGCTGGCTCAAGTCAGCAGGAGCAATTACTGAATTACTTACCATCACTAAAGATTACAAAAACAACGTGACACTGCATATGTTTCACAAATAAAAGCCACACCACTGGGAAGCTTAACGTTTTATTTATTAAAAATAAGGAACATGTAAAGAATTGCAAAACCCAGGGAGTTGAGATTCAGGGTGCAGGGTGGGGGTGCTGTCTTATTGTAGGGAGTCTCAGTTGAATCCCCTCGTGGTTCTTGCCATTAATCCAAAATCAACTAAACTGCAACATAATGTACAGATAACAGTCAACAGAATCACAAAGCCTGGAAACACTCAATCCATAGTCTTATATTTGTTTACTCTTTAAAGTCTCCAATATGCACTATAAATCCACATCAATAGTGACGTATCACGAAAATAGCTCTTTTTACTGTGTAACTTACATTAGCTCGTACTCCAAAATGGATAACGATATTTTCATTTTATCTCCTCCACTCTACAAGCTCGTGCCCCAATGTTATATTTAACTAATATTTATCTCCCACCCACCCCGTGAAAAATCATGTTTAGAAGCTTTTTCTAAGATTCAACAATGGTGGATGAAATGACATTAAGAGCAGGGATTTTACAGTTACTAGGCTGTTTATGGTTCACATTATGAGTTCCTAACTTTACTCAGTACCCTAGCCTAATCTGTTATCTGTTAATGTTCCATAAATCTACTAAATTAATTGGGGATAATCTCCTGACATACTTATTATACATGTTAATTTGATTCAGATGTGCTTATTATATACAAACTGATTCTTTAATAGTTTTACCCTTGGAGTGAACGGAGTTGACGCAACTCTCTCTCTATACGGCTCTGGGTGTTGCTATGTGGTTGTTATGGCATTCCAGGTGTTTCTTTGGGTGTTGCTAGGTGGTTGCTGTGGAATCCAAGATGGCTACTAGTTTGTTGATAGGTGTGCGCTGTGGTATTCCAGGTGGTCAGTCATACTATACACAAACCACAGAGAAAATTATTTTACTGCAGCATTTAGAGCTGTTGGTAACCAACTTTAGCTAATCAGTTCATTACATTTATAAGTGGCATCCCAACTAATTGACGAACAAGTTCATAAATGCATAGATAAATGAATAAGATATAGGTTCAAAATCTGCCACAGGATGTACAAACCAAAGATGATTTTATTGTAGCTTTTTAAAGTAACTGGCATCCAAAAGCATCACACTGCTCAGAATCTTTTGGTCCTACTCGTGAAACTGTGTGTGATATACTTTCCCTTTATGTCTGTCTGCCTCACACTATCTGTCTGCCTGTTACAGATCTGTGTTCAACATTATGATTTATAATCTTTCTTTCTGTGCAACAGGTCCTACACCTACAGTGGATACTGTTACCATCCTCCACAACCTACCATTGCAAAAAGGACGAAAGAAGCATGCTCGTTTTCCAAAACTCCACACACAGCTTGTGGTTCTGTCGGGGTTCTGACGTACCAAATCCTCAATAATGAAACAAAACATGTTGCTGAACTGGCCATCATGTTCTCTGTGCCTTTTGACTACAACCAATATGAAAACATGTTTGCCCTTGGCATTTATGAACCAAACATTTCATGTGATAAAAATCTATACAACAAGATGTATTATCACGGTGGTCTGTTCACCAGAGGAAAAGGGACAGGGGGTGTTATAACATATTGTGGAAATGGAGCTCTGGTGAAGGGAACAATGTCTGCTTATGGCCAATCAATTATTAGGGCTGAACTGTGGGATAAGTAGGCTTGGCGCCTTTTACCAAAACTGATAAGGCAAACAGTCTTAAGCCATCTAAGCTCCAGCATTAACAGTTACCATACAGTATAGTTTATCTAATGAGTTCTTCATTAAATTAAAGCAGGTGATGAGCCAAACCTGCGTTCATCTAACTGTATTTATCTAATCTACATATTCAGAACTACACTGAAAACAACACATTCTGACTACTGTGTTTATGTTTATTCATATTGATTCTAATATTTTATAGACTTTTTTACTGGCATAAAGCACACAGCTGAGAGTTTATAAATAAAACTAATGGAGGGCTAAAACTTCTGCACAGTACTGTAAATGTTTTAAGTGCTAATTAAATACTGAAAATCTGAGCATTGATAATCTCGCATGTAAACCTCTTAATAACAGTATTACTAGAGTATCTGCTTACAGCATTTACATCTAAGCCTCTTTTGACTCTTTCCTTTAAACACTGCTTGCTGTGTACTGAGACATTATTAAAGAGATATTAATAAACCGCTTGCTGTTTTCTTCATTATGAGTTATTGAGTATCTGTGAACATGGTCATAACCAGTGTGAGGACACTGAGATCCAGACTTCAATAGATTCTAAAGGAATCATGAGATTCAGTGTGGAAACAGTGATGTTCTGATTACACAGAGTGACTCTGACTGCCTGAGATGATCAGATGTGCAGCAACACACTGTAGCCTAACATATGACATCACTAGGATATAAATATGAGGTTCATGTTCACAAGGGCAGTTACAGATTAAGCTTGTACAATGTAATCTGTAACACTGTTGGCTAAATCAGCATGTTAGAGTCCAGCTACAGCAGCTGCTCAGTTTAGGCTACAGGCTCTTTAGTTCACTGTTGTAGTGATCAAATAAGAACTAGTTTAAAGTAGAGAGACAGTTAAAAGATGATGAATTGTGTCATAATATACTACAACAAGCATTAAAGTTCACTGTTAACTAGAACACTAATGGCACAATATTTAGGAAATCAGCAGAGGAGATATTACACAGAAGTTGTGAAAGATAAGATAGGAAAAAAATTAGAAAGTGCCACTTTATTCATTTTTTCTGCCTGTAAAAAATATGGAAACCAGTCAAAAAAAGGTTCCAGCTTCAATTTTATCCATTAAAAACTTAAAAAAAAAAAACAAAACAAAAAAACCTTTTTCACCTTTTTGTCCACTACAATATGAAATAGAAATATGGGCTAATGTAAGAAATGGTTTCCTTTGTCCCTGTCTGATCCCACCTTGAACTCTCTCTATCTGGTTGTTCTCCATTGATATCCATATGGTGATTAATTTAATTAACTTGGTGTGCTTGTAGAACAGCTTTGTACAAAAAAGATGGTAGTTTTAAGAAAATCCACAGAATTTCCTTTCATTCCCCTCTTTTGTTCCCTAGGAACAACACTCTTAAAAAGGAGTGTCCACCACAAGGGCTGGGCAAAAAACCTGCAACAGGGCTTACTTAGTACAGCAACAGTCCCAGCCTACCCAAACTTTGTTTTGATGTAGGACATTCACACTCCCAGGTGGATTTGAGCATGCTTGAGCGTTTACTCCACAAGTCAACTAACTTGTGACTCATGAAAACCACGTCAGCATGCAGCACAAAATAAAATAGAATAATGTTACATAGAGCACAAAATATAAAAATGGAAAGAGTCAAAATTTAAACAAAGAGCAATCAATAGAGTCATTGCCAGTGTATTCATGAGAGCGATTAGAAACTTGTTCACACAACAGAGGGACAGATGCCACGGCACGGAAATTCCATGAGCAGGACCGCAGAGCGCTGGTGCATAGCAAACTTTAAGCTCCTCCTCCTAAGAAGAGTGATTATCTGGAACACAGGGGAACATAAATCAAAACTCAGAGTGAATTAGAACGCTATCGGGCCCTAAAAACGGAGTATGAATTGGAAGAGTGTCTCCTGACTGTCAGAGATACAAAGCAGAAACAGATCCTGATCAAGTAGAAACTCTGTGACCACAGCCTGAGAATCTGATTTCTCAGTTTATTAACCATGAGCTTGGTGGAATGTGTCAGGTCTTTATATTGTGACCACAATATTCTCAGAAAGACATCATTAAATATGTCATGTTTTGACATGTCTAATGTTTTATGGGATATGTTTTTACTCTAAACAGGCAATGAGTCTTATAACAGCTGTTATTGCCATTCCAGGTGTTTCTTTGGGTGTTGCTAGGTGGTTGCTGTGGAATCCAAGATGGCTACTAGTTTGTTGCTAGGTGTGTGCTGTGACATTCCAGGTGGTTGCTAGTATGTTGTATGCGTTTGCTAGGGTGTTGCTAGGTGGTTGGTATGGTCCACTGAGAGTTGCTTGAGTGTTGCTCACCCATTGCTATGGTACCTCTTGTGATTACTACAGTGTTGATAGGCGGTTGCTATAGTGGTAGGGTGGAAATCCAGGTGGTTGCTTAGATGTTGCTATCAGTTACTATGGTATCACACATGGATGCTAGTGTACTTGTATTATTGTAATGTTGGTGGAATGTACAAACATTTGCCCACACAATTCTGCCTTTCCTTCCTTTACCAAATCAGTTCATCAAATTTGTAAGTAGCTGTAACGTGCCAAGCAGATTCAGACGCTCGCAGATGTAAAATACAGAAGGGGCTTTACTGAGAGAATCACAGTTCAAAGTCATCGTCAAAAAACAGGCAGGGTTCAAATCCAAAAGGCATAGTAAGTACAAACAAACATATATCTGACAATGCATCCAGTCCAAAAAGGGAATAGGCAACAGCGTGGTCGAAGATACAGGCAATGGGTCAAAAACAGTAATCCAAAATAAGGCAAACAAATCTGAAGGGCAGAGCAAAAAGGCAAAGTCGAGAAAACGAAAAGCAAAGATCATACACAAAATACACTCCAAGAAAAGAACGCTCAGTAGATCGCAAAAGTGGATACAATACCTCGCAACTATTCTGTGCTAAAGCCCGGGTTTAATACTACACTAAGTATGTCATATGACAAATAACACAGGTGCTTCACATCAGTATTCTGGAGATCTAGAGCGCTGATAGGAGCGCGGAGTCACGTGAGGCGTCAGGTGATCTCCCAGAGGTTCTTGGGAGATTGAGTTCGTCGATTTTGATTCAAAGTTGGTCATACTATACACAAACCACAGAGGAAATTGTTTTACTGCAGCATTTAGAGCTGTTGGTAACCAACCTTAGCTAATCAGTTCATTACATTTATAAGTGGCATCCCAACTAATTGACGAACAAGTTCATAAATGCATAGATAAATGAATAAGATATAGGTTCAAAATCTGCCACAGGATGTACAAACCAAAGATGATTTTATTGTAACTTTTTAAAGTAACTGGCATCCAAAAGCATCACACTGCTCAGAATCTTTTGGTCCTACTTGTGAAACTGTGTGTGATATACTTTCCCTTTATGTCTGTCTGCCTCACACTGTCTGTCTGCCTGTTACAGATCTGTGTTCAACATTATGATTTATAATCTTTCTTTCTGTGCAACAGGTCCTACACCTACAGTGGATACTGTTACCATCCTCCACAACCTACCATTGCAAAAAGGACGAAAGAAGCATGCTCGTTTTCCAAAACTCCACACACAGCTTGTGGTTCTGTCGGGGTTCCGACGTACCAAATCCTCAATAATGAAACAAAACATGTTGCTGAACTGGCCATCATGTTCTCTGTGCCTTTTGACTACAACCAATATGAAAACATGTTTGCCCTTGGCATTTATGAACCAAACATTTCATGTGATAAAAATCTATACAACAAGATGTATTATCACGGTGGTCTGTTCACCAGAGGAAAAGGGACAGGGGGTGTTATAACATATTGTGGAAATGGAGCTCTGGTGAAGGGAACAATGTCTGCTTATGGCCAATCAATTATTAGGGCTGAATTGTTGGATAAGTAGTCTTGGTGTCTTTTACCAAAACTGATAAGGCAAACAGTCTTAAGCCATCTAAGCTCCAGCATTAACAGTTACTATACAGTATAGTTTATCTAATGAGTCCTTCATTAAATTAAAGCAGGTGATGAGCCAAACCTGCGTTCATCTAACTGTATTTATCTAATCTACATATTCAGAACTACACTGAAAACAACACATTCTGACTACTGTGTTTATGTTTATTCATATTGATTCTAATATTTTATAGACTTTTTTTACTGGCATAAAGCACACAGCTGAGAGTTTATAAATAAAACTAATGGAGGGCTAAAACTTCTGCACAGTACTGTAAATGTTTTTAAGTGCTAATTAAATACTGAAAATCTGAGCATTGATAATCTCGCATGTAAACCTCTTAATAACAGTATTACTAGAGTATCTGCTTACAGCATTTACATCTAAGCCTCTTTTGACTCTTTCCTTTAAACACTGCTTGCTGTGTACTGAGACATTATTAAAGAGATATTAATAAACCGCTTGCTGTTTTCTTCATTATGAGTTATTGAGTATCTGTGAACATGGTCATAACCAGTGTGAGGACACTGAGATCCAGACTTCAATAGATTCTAAAGGAATCATGAGATTCAGTGTGGAAACAGTGATGTTCTGATTACACAGAGTGACTCTGACTGCCTGAGATGATCAGATGTGCAGCAACACACTGTAGCCAAACATATGACATCACTAGGATATAAATATGAGGGTTCATGAGGCCAGTTACAGATTAAGCTTGTAATGATTGGCTGGCTGATTGGCTGGCTGCAATTGCATGGAGTATTTCCAGAGAACTTGCAGAGAGTCCAAAATGAATAGGTTGATATGGAGCATTTGAGCAAAATCACAGTTTATAAATGCTTAAACATTTTTAATGTAAAACAATACAATCATTTCCTGAACGCAGAACAGCATAAAAAAATTTAATACAACTGTTATATATATGTATATACATATATATATACATACATACATATATATATATATATATATTTTATTAAGACACTTGTCAGGTTCACAGGTACAAATG